GCTGTTCAAATAATATAATTCAAATAAGTTTCGGATATTGTGAAATTCGGTACACCACGCGAGAATATATAAATACATATAACACAAGGGCAAACATCTTATTTGATATTGGATTAAAGATACAAGATATTCTTCGTGAAATGGTAAAAGCAAAGTAAAAAAAATAAAATTAGATTAAATTTATTTCTAATTGTCAAATGACACACGCCAATATATTTTTATATGACACTTTTATAGCACTACACCGTTTGGTACGGCTATCTAAACCAAAGCGTGTACGTCTTACTGCATAGAATACGCGTTTACCGAAAACTGTACCGATCTAACACAATGCTCAACACGTTCTGAGACTAATTCCATTTTGATTCTCTTGCTAAGCAAAAATTTTCACATTAACTATATATACGTATCTGTACACGTATCTATGTACGTTGGAAAGTGTTTTTTTATGGTTACTGCAAAGCTCTTATCGTGCTAAAGGCAGAACTTCCAGTCACTAGAATAAAAAATACTCTTAAGGTTGCTTAGCGAGATTTTATATTTCTTTTTATTTATATTATTCAGAGCGTAAAATATGCTCTGCCGGTTTTTTTATATATGTTTATAAAAGAATTATTTGTTACAAATTTGTTTTGATTTTGGTAATACCCTACATTTGGCTGTTGATAATATTGATACAATAGAAAACTTTGTTCGAGGGAAACCTTGTGAAGAGCAACGACTCTAGTGTTTGATATGTTAAATCCTCAGTCTTATCAGTGGTATTGTAAAGAATTTAGAGCAGAGTGTTTATATAGAACAGACATTATCGGATTTGAATTGTCCAAAATAAATATTCTGTTTTACAAGTAGTTAGTCATAGAAACGATTTTAAACTTCATATATTAACTTGGTGTGTTTTTGTTTTATATTTGATTCAAACCTTTTTTTAATAATTTAATCAATTAAAAAGTAGTAAATTTAACCATTAAAAATAAATTCAGATTTTTCTTTCATCTGCTTCAAAACAATACATACAAATATATTGAAAACACATTCTAAGCAAACCATATGTAAATATTTTATATTATAAATAACTATCTTAATTGTACATGTAGTTAGACTGCAAACCTCTTCTTAATGTTTTTAAGAATTAAATGTACTTCAAATAAACCAAGATCTTTGTGAAAGATCTGTTTATCAATACCATTTAAGGCTATCTGTTTATTTTGTTGCTACAATACTCATATAATGACAGTCTTGTTATATTGTTCGTATCATATGACATATATTTGACTTAACTCGGTCTGTAATTAATACAGATATTTCAAAACGTGTCTTTGGTGTCTTTAGAGTGCCAAAAAAGTGGCCTTTTCTCATTTCCCAACTGTTTTAAGTTCATTTGATACTGATAAGATTGTAAACCGAAATCCTTTTTCTCGAGATATTTACTTATTATACAACATCAGAACATGGATTAAAAAACAATCTAAGCAGCGTATTTGAGTCAGCAACAAAAAAAATTGTCTGGTTTGTCAGTTTAACTTTGTAGATCTTGAACTCAGACGAATTACTTAGATAACACACGCTGCCATTTGCAAGTTCTGCGAAAGACGGAGCGAAATATCCGTACAGCACCTTATGTGCTACAGACCTGCGATCACCAGAAAAGAAAAACGTTACATACATACATATTTTCATATTTTCGTTGAGCCTAATGTGGACTAAGATGTTGAGCCAAGAGAAATTTTTAAGCTGATTAATACCTTAGTTTGCTCAAGTGCGTTTTTTTTCTGTATATTTTAATTATAAATAAACAATTGAGTGTTAATAGTTTCAAATTAAAGATTATTGATAATACATTAAGCCGAAAAAAGTAGAAGACTTTGAGTTATGCTATTAATAATTAATAAAACAAAATTGAAGGAAGGCTCGGTATAGGAAGGAAACAAATGTCTTGGCTATGAAATATTTGAAAGTGAACTGACATAAGCACAAGTAAAAAATATTACACCAATAAAATTTCAAAAATAATTAAAATTAATTAACTTAATTTTGTAATGTAAATTAAATTTTTTATGAGTTCCCTTACGCTATATTAAAAAAAAATTATATGTAGAAAAGAAAAGATACATGGTCAGCTTAAAATTGCATTCAAAATTTCACGGACGTAGCCAAAAAACGTTGGCCCCTCTCGAAAAGTGTGACCAAAATGAAATTTTTTGATGAAAAATGGGTCTATGGATCTCGATTCGACGAACTTGTTAAATGTTAAATATTTGTATAAAATTATTCTTGCTCATCAATTTATACAAAGAGAGATGTCTCCAATTTATTTTACTACTTCATCATATACACACAAAACTATAAATATTGACCCAAATATCAATATAAAAAGATATGATGAATTGACTATATGCATAAACGCTCTTTCTTATTCATATTTTGCATTTATATAGGTATATAATGTACATATATTTTTTCACGCAACTGTTTTTGATTGTTTAATAGAAAGATTGTACTGTACATTTAAACTAATGTAAAGGATGTGTAGATCAGATACTTATTTTATAGACTATACTATTAAAGATATATATGTTATAAACAGGCACCATATTCAAATCAAAATAATTGGGTATGCTGACAATATAATGTTGATTATCGACTCGCAGAAAGATTTATAGAAACTTTTGAGTACAACCCAAAATTGAATTCGAATAAATGATATTACATGGCTGTGTACAAAAATTACCTCGAAGTAGACTGAGTTTAAAGGTATGAGCTCAGGAAATACTTTATAATAAATTTAATTAAAACTACAATTAAATTAACAATGTGATTATACTTAAAAATTCAAAACATGAAATGAAAAAGTAAGGAATATTTTAAATAAGTTCAAGTAATACCGCGCGCAGATGACAATCACATGCTCTTTCTGAATATAACTGAGGATTGTTATTGATATAGTTCGAATGTTAAATATTACGTTTTTCCTAAATTGTTTTGGTGTAGGGGCATAATAAGTAACATCAATTCATGAAGCTGACGTCATCACAATTTCAGAAATAGTGTGTATAAACAAACAAAAGCAAAGTTTAAATACGGTAAAGTGATGATAACTCGTATAATAGTCTTAGGAAACCTAAAAAAAATAAAAAGTTGAAAAAATAGTTAAATGCTAGAATCTATCATTAAAGTCAAATGTATAGTAAATCCCGGTTTTCTAAGAAGAATTTCCTAAATGTACAGCACATAGATAGTGTAGTATCGATATTTTAGAAAATATTTGGCAACGAATAGAATATGAATTATGTACTTTAAAAAGTATTTCAAATGAAAAAAAAATTAATTTATGAATATTGTAGCAATATTGACCAATTTTGCCAATTAGCGTTGACGAAATTTAAAAAAAAATAGATCTTCAACTACATATTAAAAATATAAATTACTCAGTCAGTGCCCAGGACTATTGAAACAGTTCCCAGTGCAAACAAAATAAGTTCACAAAAATATCACTATAAAGAAATAGTTATAATACATTATTTCAGTGTTCTGTAGTAAAATATTGTACTATATTATATTATATTAATATATACAATAAAAACATAGAATCTTTCTACATATTATAAGTACAGTAGTCCCACCTATAACGCGTTTTCATATTACGCGATTTCAATCCCCCGTATAACACGGACATTCCTCAATATAAGGCAAGGACTTGTACCTGCTTCGCGTACCTTTGCACATGTGTATACGGGGTATACGGGAATACCCTTATAACACGTTTTTCTATAACGCGGAACCAATCTACCGCGTTATAGGGGGATTACTATATATCAATAATTATCTTATAAACGTTTTTCCGGCAAAATCCAAAATTTTTGCATGGAATGCAAGAATAATAAATGTATCTGAAATCTGAATCAGCTCTGAAATCAATTTTTAAGTAAATTAATATTTAATCCATATTACATACGCAGGAGTATGTGAATTTGTAGCTTATTTAAATTAAAATGAATTATTGAATATATCGCTTTATATCTACATTTCAATTGTTTATAAAATACGGAAAAGATTTACAATTCCAAAAACGCTTGAGAAAATGCTGTGCTCTCATAAGTCCCAAAGCTGCACCGTAAGTATACAGCAAGGCACAAACGTATTATACACAATAAATAAAAATATAGCAACTGCTAGTAAAGAAAATTTTTGAATTTGACTTTTGATGTTATTAATTTCACTTAATTCTGAGCAATACGCAATTATACTCACATAATAATAACTATAGTTTTTATTTGTTCTCTTATAGTGCCATTAATACAAATTATATATTGCACAATAAAAATATACACAAAAATTCCAGCGAGCGAGCGAATCCACTTTTTTCTACGTTTTCGCAGCGTTTTATATATTAATTTATTAATATATTGTGTAAATAAATATTTAATTTATTAATTCATTTAATTTAGAATAAAGCCATTGTCACTAATTGTATTAGAATTTCGTTGAAAAAAATATATATGCAAAAATATATATATACTATATTTTCATTTTGGCAGTAATCAAAACAAAAACCACAAAACGTCAAAAATACCACGTGTTGTTGTTGTACTTTCACTTTCTTTGCACATTTGTTTTGATACAAGCAACGGTGCTGCCACCACCCAAAAATTATAAAATAAACATACACATTTAAAAATTTAATTTTTATTAGAAATATTTATAACATTATATATCAATATTTTATTTAATACAACAAATATGCTTACAAGTTAATATAAATTTATAAAGGCACAATTTCTTTTAAATTTACTAATGTTACACATACAAATATAATGCATATATGACACAATACATAAATACACTGAAAAAAATTTTACATGCAAATTACAAAGAAAATTTAAATCGCTATGCACATTTTACATATTTATACATTAAATTTGTATAAGATTTAGTTTCAAGCAATTTTCTTAACTTCATATATATAATTTATATATATATATATTTATATTACAATTAAAATGAATGGGTATATTATAAAATTTTAAATAAAATTGTTTTTCTTAGAATTAACAGTACAAAACTTGACAGCAATTTATATATTTAGTCTTAAATTGTGTAAATATAAGTGACAATTATGCTAATATTACTAATTACCATAATTGGCGGGCACTTAAAATTCGTTTAAAATTCTTCAATAAGAATTTGTACTTCAAATTTGGATTTTGTGAGATTCTATTCCTCTTTTAAGGATTTTTCATGCGCCTGTAATAAAAAAAAAAGTTTGAGGAGTAGTTTATTATTTATTGTAAACAAGTAAAAAACAATATTTTTAAAGTGGAAGAGCTTCAACTTTTATTTCGAGCGTTATTTTTAGTATATTTCTATACGTATTTCGGCAAATTCGCTTTTACTTTCATCAGAAGAATTCTTAATATTATATAGGAAAATTCTCCTTCTCAAAATTATAAACAAAATTACAATGGTTTACTCTTTTAAGTAGTGTAAACACTTGATTAAATTGAAACTGTTGAAAATATCAGCCCCAAAAAGATACATACGTATATATAAACATACATATATAAACCTGCAGTTCAATGTGATACCATAAGAGAAGAGAGATTAATGTATTGTAAATAGTTGAAAAATATTGCTTAACTCAAAGAATTATTGTAGGAAGCATTATAAAAGCATTATAAAAAATAAAAAAAAATATCTGTAGAAAACCTCTACATTTATATATAAGGGCATAAATGTTGTAAATGCTATAGTCTCAATAAATAAAATAATGTTTTCCTATGTAAAACCGATCGATTATACTAAGTATAATCGATTTTATTATACTAAGTGGATTGATAAATACCCGGTCTAAATAATAAAAAAAGCATTTTATTTTGGAAAATTATATTTTATGCTTCAATATGGGAACGATTTTCTACATTTGGACACTCTTTTAAATAATACGATTTATCAAGTCCTCCAAAATATACCTCAGTATATTTCCATTCCACTTCATCATTTGATGCACATCTCTTTCCCTGGAACCATCTTTTCAAGTTTGGAAACAAGAAATAGTCACTGTGTAGTATATCTACATATTACAAACAAAATAATTATTTGTTAATGGTAATATGATGATATACGTTACTGGCACATGCCAAAAGCAAAGACATTGGTCACACACTTACCATGTGAAGAAGCGCAAAAGAAAAGTAATTTGATTCTTTTGTTTTGCGCAAATGAAATTCGTAAAGTGCATTAACTTGCATTGGAATTTCATTATTTAGTATTTCGGGTAATTATTAAATAATAATAATAAATTCATATTTTTAAATTAATTGAAATGCATATTAAGCATTTTTATATGAAAATTACTAGGCGAACATAATATTCAGGTAGGTTAGTGTTTAAGTTAGAATAAGTATATATACTGTACAAATTTAATAAAAGATTCAGATTCAAACAGAACATTGAGTCTCGCCTATCATTATATTCAAGTTGCCTAGTTGCAACCTAGTTTTATTCGCCTCGTTGCGAACAAGAAAGGCGCCTCGCTGCGCTAGGAAAAACTTATAATACAATACATAAAACCAAATCTTATTACAACTGAAAGCCAAATGTGGAGAATTCGTAATAAGCTATTCGTACCGTAAGTCATTTAATTTTGTCATGGTTTTCAGTGATGTGAGAGTAGGTACGTTATGCTGCAAAAACAAAATTTTATCTTCCAAAAATTTAGTCGTTTTTCTTGATTTTCTCATTCAATCCAAAAATAGATTTAATAATATGCAATAGTGGTCTGATGTTATTGTTTTTCTTTCTTGAATCAAAAAATACGGAAGGCAAAACTTTTTCAGCCGATTGTTGAGTTCGTACCCGTTTGGGAGCACTACTTCCGCGCTCTACCTATTCTCTGGCTTGTTGTTTTCCCTTAGGTGTGAAGTAATGAATCCATGTTTCATCAATTGTCACTACTGGACTCTATTCGCTAGGTTATGCTAGATTAGCATAAACATTTCCAAACAATATTTTGAATGACGAAGTCGTTGTCGTTTTTGATCAACGCGGCAACCATCTTGCCGAGAGCCTTTCATACTCAAATATTTATGTAAAATATTCGATATACGTTCATATGATATGTTTCTCATCTCTACTATCTCACACAATTTAATTTTTGGAATATCTAACACAATATCATGGATTTTTTAAATGTTTCTTTTAGTTGTCACCTCTTTTGGATCACGTTTAAATTCAGCTTTCTAATATTTTATTGTTGTCAATGATGGTGCAAGGTTGCCGTAAACAGAATCCATTCCCAATTTGATTGCATCATTGGTCATTCCTTTCAAATGGAGGAATTATATTACTGACTAATATTCAATTCTTTCCATTTTATAAGAAATCATCAAGGTAAACTATTTCAATTATTTGCAAAAAGGCTAACCGAACATCTAATGAAGCCAAAACTTTTATAACTGTCGTCTAATACTTGTCAGATATACATGATATTATTGATTTTATTCACCTGTTGTGAAGTCAGATAATTATCAATCCACTTAGTACTAATACTTATTGTTATGTTAATAATTTTGAAGTTATAATTATTTAATCCTGCTACTATTGAGTTTTGTCTATTTATACAAAAGATACTGTAAGACAATACTTTGCTAAAAAAATCAAAAATAAATAATAAAATTATTTAATATCATGTGGTCATTTTGAGAGTAATGTTTAATATAAATCAAACTTACTTTTTGCGCAACTTTTAATAAATTATCGAATGTGGTTTTGCCAGTTTGTTTAACCATGCCGTAAAAAATTTGCGTTTCACTTTCAGTCAATAATTCGTATGGTGTACCAAACTCCACTACTCGCCCGGCATCCATTACTAGAACCTTGTCAGAATCCATGACAGTATGCAAACGATGAGCAATCGTTAAAACAGTACAATTCATAAATTTATTTCTTATAGTTGTTTGTATGAGAGCATCAGTTTGTGGATCCACATTAGCTGTTGCCTCATCCATTACTAATATTTTATTTTCTCTTAGTATAGCACGAGCTAAGCACACCAATTGTCGTTGTCCAACACTAAAGTTACCACCACCTTCTGAAATTTTACTCTGTAAACCACTGGGAAGTTCAGCAATTAAAGACTTTAATTTGACCTAGAATAAAAGATATTAATTTTATTTTAGAAACTAATGTTTTCATACAAAAACCTCTTCTAGCGATTCCCATAGTTTGGCATCTGAATATTCATCGAATGGATCTAAATTATAACGCATAGTGCCAGAAAACAAAACGGGTTCTTGTGGTATAATTGAGATTTTACTGCGCAAAT